CACACTTTAGTGTTTCTCCTGCTTCTTTTCTAGCTACTGCTTTCCACCTTATTCTCAAGGTCCTCAGTTTCTGCTGTAGGAGTTACAACTGATTTTTTCTATTTCTTTCGCGCATAACCATCCTCCTCTACATCCCAACGGTTTGTATTACTGTCCCGTAATCTGCTGGCAATTTCTCACAGCCTTTGAGACCTTCCATCGACTCAATGTGGCGATTTTCCGGTTATAAGCCCTGCTGCTACTATGCTCTGCAGTGTGCATGCTAACTTACGAACCTGGGAGGCAGGATCCTGGTCAGCTCCCAATGTTTGGAGAGAGCTGCGTGACCCAAAAGAGCAACACTTTTTTTCTCAATATACAAGAGGAGTAACAAAAATGAAGCCAGAAAGCAGAGGTCTCCGATTCAGACTCTTACCTGTGCTACCTCTTCAAAATCATCGTGTCTTTTCTGCAGTGCACGTGCTCTGTGTAGAGACTTCCCCACTCCTGTGTGTTTACTCAGAAAAGCTTCCCCGTGATTTTCAATCCAGTCCAGTACCTGTCAGAAAAAAAACAACATCCAATTACCTCTCCTGTCTCAGCAGCACAGAGGAATTCTCAGGGTGAGCATAAAGCAGCTGCAGAGGTATTGCTATGGCTAAACACATGCGGATCTGTCAAAGTCCATTCCAACTGGATAGGAGATAAATGTTTATGGATGTCACTGGTAAATTAAGATTATTGGATTTTTACTATTCAATTTATTTTGAAGTGTAGCTTAGTTATTTGAGCCTGGCAGATATTAAATATTTACTTTCACATAAATGAATTTTGGGGAATAGGAATCAGAAATCTGGAATCTTCTACAGCAAGTATCCTCCTCTTTGTGTAAACTGAAAAGCAGTGATAGTTGATTTCACATAAACAGCAGATCTCTACAGGAAGCATCTTAAGTGAGTCCAAAAGCATGACAGAGGAATCAATTAAAATTTATTTTATGTAGGGAGAAAGCATTATCAGAGTAGCTAGAATGAAAAGGTTAAGAATCCTTCACTGCAGGCCATAAAATATCGATGGTGTGCACCCTCCAAGTCTTTCAGGTTTTCAGTTCCAAATGTAACTGATCCTTATGGAAAAGTAGAGTGGCAAATCTGATATTCTAAGAGTTAAAGAGGATTTTCTTTCAAAAAATAGATCAACTCTATGAGCATCATCCATTTGGAGCTCCTTCTCGTAATAACACTGGCACTAAAATTTAGATCAAATCTGTTTGGGGTCTACTACAAGCTGGAAAAAAAATTAACCTGACAATACGAGATTGAAAAATTTCAGAATGTGATCCCCACCCTTTCTACATCTCTTTCCCAATCAGAGAGGCTAAGAGAATACATATAACTAGATCAGTACTGGAACTTGTATAAGTACTAGGACTTCTTTCAGCAAGGAACCCCATGCTCACAGTGAATTGTTGATCTTTGCTGCTACTGATGCTAATGGACTAGCAAAGAACAGCTGGTGTTTCTGTCACACTGAAGGGAGAAGACACCCCAAGCATCCCCAGGATAGTGACACTACCACAGAGTTCTGCACCTGCAAATGGCCTCAGAGCTGCATCCTTTCTTTGTGCAGCGCTGGGGCATGAGCAGCAATCACAGGCCCCAGTGAAGCTGGGCAGGGGCTGCAGGATGCCTTGCAACTCACCGCAGCTTGGCCTGAGAAGGGCTCTGCTCCCAGGACACAGAAGCGGGATGGGAGAGAGCCGTTGTGCAAAGGAGCCACTTGTCTTGTGTGGGGCTGATAAATCAGATATTATTGACCAAGCCTAGAAGCCTAAGACTGGAAAAATGGAAGACATGATTATCTTTTTTTTTTTTTTCAAGCAAGTAAAGCTATTGCATGGCTTGGTTGTACAGAATCTAAACCACCTGGGCTTTGAGTCTTTTCTGTAGTGTAGATCCCAAGCATATCTTCATAAGAAGTTGCAAGTACAAACGAAACTTTATATACATATTGTTATTTCCCAACTCTATGTCTTTGCTGGAAAAAGCATTTTTTTTAACTAATATTTTGTGCTTACAAGGTATTTTTAATCCACAGAGTACAAATAATGTCACAAAATGGGGTATCAAAGCACTTTATGTCCTGCAGGGACAACACATATTTGGCACAAGTGTCACTGTGGAGATGGGGAAGCAGGACCGGGTGTGTTGGCAGTTCAGTCATCGCTTCCTGCATCCCTTTTTCTGATCAGTTTGTCTCCCATTTGCTCTGGGGAGAGAATCCCAAATACATTCCTTCAAACTGTTTGACAGTGACTTTCCAGCTTGTCTGCTAGAGCTTTTCTGCAATATATTATTGACCAGGAGTCTGTATATAACTTGGAATAACACCAGTTATTGGAGGGTACCCTTCTAGCATTTGTGTCGTTAACAGTCTGTAAATAATTCCATTAACATCCTCTTTTCTCTTGTCAGGAGTTTTAAACTTACCTATTAAAAATGGAACCAGATCAAAACTCAATTTTGAAAAAAATCTCACCTAATAAGGCCTCATTTTAAAAATATTATTTTTTAAATGGCAAATGGCTTTAATTCAAACAATGTTTCATAAGAAGTTAGTACTCAGTATATGCTTTCTATTTATTAATATTTGATAGCCATTCACTGTAATTCTGCAGCAAATTATTCTAGTAACTTTTACACACTTATTGCATTAAAGTAGTAATCACATAATAACAAAATTTTTATCCCAACCAATGTTATATTGGGCTGCTTTAGTCACTGCTAGATGAGTGTTAACAGAGATTGCCACTTTTGCTTTATAAACGGGTATTTTGTTACCCGCTTCAATTCAAAACAAGAAATACAACACATGATGCCCACTTTAAACAAAGATGAAAACAAAGGCAATGAATCCAGGCCAGAGTACTGGTCAAAATATGGATACTTCACTCTCAATAAAAGAAACAAACAAAGTGCTAGAACATTAATCCATAGGGAATAAACCTTTGTTCCAGGACTCATGCAAGAGCTGGCAACTTCTGCAGCAAAGTCTTATGTTCACAACCATTCTGTGAAATACATAAATGCTGTATTTTCATTTTGAATAGAAGGAGAGGGGAAAATCTTATATATAGACATATTAAAATACTAAGTGAATTGCTGAGGCATCCCAGGAAGTTGGCAGAAGACAAGATGTTAGCCTGAGGCTCTGATAACATGATAGTCCTAACTCTCAAGAGAATCCTCGGCATTTCTGTGAGCAGCTAATATGTTTTTCCTTATACAAGCATTTGCCACCTAATAAGCTCACGATTATTTGCAAGCATGGAGAAATATCACGTCTTTGTTTCCATCAAACAAGGCACAGAAAGTTTGCACTAAATGAGGAGCTGGAATAATTGAGTGAGCAAGAACATAAATCTGCATGGATACAAAGCACTTAGTCCCCAGTGAAAACAGTGAGAAATGTTAAGCAATTAGTCTACAGCAAATGCAGGAACAACTCTGAAAGGTCACAATAAGACCTGAAATCATCACCACTTGTAAACGTCTACCTGTCAGCACGTTTGGACACATTCTCCCTTACCCTGAAGAAAGTAAATGTCTTTAGAACTAGCATAATTCAAGGTAAACATTAACATTTTAATTGAGACCATGGACTGTATAACTTACTCTACTGCTGAAAAATTGGCTTCCTGAGATATAGTTAGCCATTGAAGTTACAGTGACTTAGTTCAAATAATTTAATTCCTCCTTAAAAACATAAACAGTTTGAAGATGCTGTTAAAAATGCAGTTAAGAGTGTTTTCCAAATTACATCTTCAAATTTCCTAATTTTCCTTTATTGCCAAGCTATGTTTTCTTAAAACAGTTAGAAAAAGCTCTCAGTCATTACTTCTTTAAAATGAAAATACTGTGCTGCAGATAAAGCCATCATCTGAGGTATTTCTTGAAACAAAATATATTTTGTAACTTCAGTATACACCAATTCTCTTTCCAATATGCGTTTACTACTCTACTTCCACTAGTTTGAAAGCTGCTCGGGACAGGGGCCAGGACCTCCCTCCTGCTTTGCAGCTCCGAGCACAGTAAAGCCTGATCCTGCACGCCTGCAAATCAAAGCCAGGCTAACCACTCTGCGGACACATTGCCCACAGAGGATAGCATTTTCCAATCCAGGCTGCCATCCACTAGATAACACTACATAATAAAAACATAAATAAGCTTTAACTTCAAGGCACATCTCCAAGCATGGGGTAAAGCTGCCTCTGGAACTGCCTGGAAACTTTATAACTCACAGACATCTTCTGAAAGGATGGGAGGGTATTAAAGTCTTGGTATTTTACCTTCACCTGTGGCAAATTCCCATCCCACACCTTACTGACCCAATCACTATTGGTGAGTTGATTGGGGTTGCTGTTTCTCCTGTTCCTCTGCCCAGTCCCATAAAATGTCCATGGGAGGAAATAAATGAGCTGCTCTGTTTAGTCTGATGGTAGCTTGCACAGGACTCCAGAAAATGTGTATGTGAGGCTAGGAGGGGAGGAGGCGGCTCCCTTTCTTTTCTGGATGGAGATTCATAATTCTGTGTTTAATTCCTATACAGTAAAAGTTTTTACAGCATCTTTTACATACTTAAAAGTATGAAATGTTTGTTAGGAGCCTGTTAACAGAAGGAGAACATAAACCAAATGCTCAAGAAGCCCGTTTGATGTCAGCAACATTGGCAGGGAAGCTGCAGG